TCTAAATGTATTTTTGTTTATCAAATGTTTCGATAAGTTTGAAAACTTTAGAAATATTGATTTATCTTGTTTTTAAATCATTTATATTTTGAAACATTGCTTATTAAATAGAAAACACTTAATACTTACTACTTGTTTAAAAAAAATCAATTTTTAAATATATATTTTTATTGCATTGTATTAAAACAATTAAAAATTTGTGTTTTTTATTTAAAAACTTTTAGTTGGAATTTTTTTTTCTTTGAAATAAAACCTTTTAGAGGTTAATTACACTTGTATAAATAAATTTATTAAAATATATGATTAATAACAATAAAAATGCATCTAAAACTTTTAAATTGTGTTACTAAGTTACAAATTTATTTAGAATTAATGCTAAAATTTATTTAATTTTAATCAGTTTAGATAAGATACAGAAAACAAGTGCTTCTTAGGAATAATATCATATATTCATATATATTCGATTTTTTATATTAGATTTTCCTTGTCTTGTCTATAAAATAATTTATTGTATTGTTGCATTTTGGAGTACTATTAAAGGTTTTATAAAGTCTAGTGCATTTGTTGGTAATTTACAATTTACACGAGACTTTATGACAATTTAAAATTAATAATGATGAAAGTGAATGAATGAGTGTTTTGTTTGTTAAATTAAGTTATTAATGGGAAATTTCTGGCTTAATTCCTTTTAAATTTACAATATTTGTTGTCATTTCTATAAAGTGTCACGTTTGCTTTTTAAAACATTATACGATCTCTGTCTATTTGTAGTAGGCATTCACCCTACCTACCACCAATAAAGGATGTACATATCTGATTCATATTGAATGAAACTATAGTCTGCGTTTCACTCCAGAGGAAAAGCATAATTGTCTCTCACAATCCCAGATCGTACAGTGTGTCCCTTAAGGACTCTGTTCCATCTGTAGCCATTAATGGTTTCAGCGACCGCCATTTGATGCAATATCTCGCGGGCGCTTGCAATTGACCATCTGTCGTTGTCCGATGGTATAAAGTCTTCGATGTCGCTGTAAAAGCGTCGGAAGTCCATCCGGATGTATCTGGGAGGAGGTTTCTCCATCAGAATCTGATGGTTAGGGTGACTAGGCAGATGGCATGATAACTGAACCTGTTCAGTCTGTATCAACAACAGCTATATCAACCTAAAGTGTAGTTTATAGTCCAGTCTGTAGTCTAGACTATTGTCTAGTCTGAAGTCTAGTCTATAGTCTAGTATGTAGTCTAGTTTATAGATAAATCCGTAGTCTGGACTATAGTCTAGTCTAGTCTATATTCTGGATTATAGTCTAGTCTATAGTCTAGTCTTTGGTCTGGACTATATTCTAGTCTATAGTCTGGACTATAGTCTAGTCTATAGTCTGGACTATAGTCTAGTCTATAGTCTGGACTATAGTCTAGTCTATAGTCTGGACTATAGTCTAGTCTATAGTCTGGACTATAGTCTGGTCTATAGTCTGGACTATAGTCTAGTCTATAGTCTGGACTATAGTCTAGTCTATAGTCTGGACTATAGTCTAGTCTATAGTCTGGACTATAGTCTAGTCTATAGTCTGGACTATAGTCTAGTCTATAGTCTGGACTATAGTCTAGTCTATAGTCTGGACTATAGTCTAGTCTATAGTCTGGACTATAGTCTAGTCTATAGTCTGGACTATAGTCTAGTCTATAGTCTAGTCTATAGTCTGGACTATAGTCTAGTCTATAGTCTGAACTATAGTCTAGTCTATAGCCTGGACTATAGTCTAGTCTATAGTCTGGACTATAGTCTAGTCTATAGTCTGTACTATAGTCTAGTCTATAGTCTGGACTATAGTCTAGTCTATAGTCTAGTCTATAGTCTGGACTATAGTCTAGTCTATAGTCTGGACTATAGTCTAGTCTATAGTCTGGACTATAGTCCAGTCTATAGTCTGTATTATAGTCTTGTCTATAGTCTGGACTAAAGCCTATAGTCTATTGCCTAGTCTATAGTCTGGTCTATAGTATAATCTATACTTTAGTCTATAGTTTAGTCTGTAGTCTAGTTTATAGTATATTCTTTAGTCTGGATTGTAGTCTAGTCAATATTCTGGATAATAATTTAGTCTATAGTCTGAACTATAGTCTAGTTTAAAGTCTAGACTATTGCCTAGTCTACAATCTGGACTACAGTCTAGTCAACAGCCTGGACTAAAGTCTGTACTTTAGTCGTGCCTATTGTCTGAACTATAGTCTAGTCAGTAGTCTGGAATATTATGTAGTTTGGCCCGTATTGTAGTGTGTAGTCTGAACTATGGTGTCTATAGTCTAGTCTGTAGTTTAGTCAAGAGTCTATAGTCTAGTCTATATTCTAGTCTATAGTCTAGTCTATATTCTAGTCTATATTCTAGTCTATAGTCTAGTCTATAGTCTTAGTCTATAGTCTAGTCTATAGTCTAGTCTATAGTCTAGTCTATAGTCTAGTCTATAGTCTAGTCTATAGTCTAGTCTATAGTCTAGTCTATGTCTAGTCAGAGTCTATAGTCTAGTCTATATTCTGTCTATAGTCTAGTCTAATATCTTATAGTCTAGTCTATAGTCTAGCTATAGTCTAGTCTATAGTCCTAGTCTATAGTCTAGTCTACAGTCTAGTCTATAGTCTAGTCTATAGTCTAGTCTATAGTCTAGTCTATAGTCTAGTCTATAGTCTAGTCTATAGTCTAGTCTATAGTCTAGTCTATAGTCCGAGTCCTATAGTCTAGTCTATGTCTCGTCTCATGTCTAGTCTTATAGCTAGTCCTAGTCTAGTCTAATAGTCTAGTCCTATGTCATCTATAGTCTAGTCTATAGTCTAGTCTATAGTCTAGTCTATAGTTAGTCTATAGTCTGTCTATAGTCCTAGTCCTATAGTCTAGTCTATAGTCTAGTCTATAGTCTAGTCTATAGTCTAGTCTATAGTCTAGTCTATAGTCTAGTCTATAGTCTAGTCTATAGTCTAGTCTATAGTCTAGTCTATAGTCTAGTCTAGTCTAGTCTAGTCTAGTCTAGTCTAGTCTAGTCTAGTCTAGTCTAGTCTAGTCTAGTCTAGTCTAGTCTATAGTCTAGTCTAGTCTATAGTCTAGTCTATAGTTTAGTCTATAGTCTAGTCTGTAGTCTAGTCTATAGTCTAGTCTATAGTCTAGTCTATAGTCTAGTCTATAGTCTAGTCTATAGTCTAGTCTATAGTCTAGTCTATAGTCTAGTCTATAGTCTAGTCTATAGTCTAGTCTATAGTCTAGTCTATAGTCTAGTCTATAGTCTAGTCTATAGTCTAGTCTATAGTCTAGTCTATAGTCTAGTCTATAGTCTAGTCTATAGTCTAGTCTATAGTCTAGTCTATAGTCTAGTCTATAGTCTAGTCTATAGTCTAGTCTATAGTCTAGTCTATAGTCTAGTCTATAGTCTAGTCTATAGTCTAGTCTATAGTCTAGTCTATAGTCTAGTCTATAGTCTAGTCTATAGTCTAGTCTATAGTCTAGTCTATAGTCTAGTCTATAGTCTAGTCTATAGTCTAGTCTATAGTCTAGTCTATAGTCTAATCTATAGTCTAGTCTATAGTCTAGTCTATAGTCTAGTCTATAGTCTAGTCTATAGTCTAGTCTATAGTCTGGTCTATAGTCTAGTCTAGTCTTTAGTCTAGTCTATAGTCTAGTCTATAGTCTAGTCTATAGTCTAGTCTATAGTCTAGTCTATAGTCTACTCTATGGTCTAGTCTATAGTCTAGTTTATAGTCTAGTCTATAGTGTAGTCTATAGTCTGGTCTATAGTCTTGTCTATAGTCTACTATATAGATTAGTTTAAGTCTAGGCTATAGTCTAGTCTATAGTCTAGTCTATAGGCTAGTCTATAGTCTAGTCTATAGTCTAGTCTATAGTCTAGTCTATAGTCTAGTCTATAGTCTAGTCTATAGTCTAGTCTATAGTCTAGTCTATAGTCTAGTCTATAGTCTAGTCTATAGTCTAGTCTATAGTCTAGTCTATAGTCTAGTCTATAGTCTAGTCTATAGTCTAGTCTATAGTCTAGTCTATAGTCTAGTCTATAGTCTAGTCTATAGTCTAGTCTATAGTCTAGTCTATAGTCTAGTCTAGTCTAGTCTATAGTCTAGTCTATAGTCTAGTCTAGTCTATAGTCTAGTCTAGTCTATAGTCTAGTCTAGTCTAGTCTAGTCTAGTCTATAGTCTAGTCTAGTCTATAGTCTAGTCTAGTTAGTCTATAGTCTAGTCTATAGTCTAGTCTATAGTCTAGTCTATAGTCTAGTCTATAGTCTAGTCTATAGTCTAGTCTATAGTCTAGTCTATAGTCTAGTCTATAGTCTAGTCTATAGTCTAGTCTATAGTCTAGTCTATAGTCTAGTCTATAGTCTAGTCTATAGTCTAGTCTATAGTCTAGTCTATAGTCTAGTCTATAGTCTAGTCTATAGTTTAGTCTATAGTCTCGTCTAGTCTATAGCATACTCTATAGCATTTCTATAGTATAGTCTATAATCTAGTCCAAAGTTTGCAATTAGTCTTAGTACAGTCTCTAGTCTATCGTGTGGATTATAGTCTAGTCTGTCGTTTAGTATTTAGTTTGTCTCTTTTTGCAAATTCTCTCCATTATTTAATAAAATATTCCATTTCAAAGTTTCAATTATTTTGTGTTAAATTTTCATTTGTATTAATTTATTATCTTTTTTTTTGTATAAAATTTATATGTTGTTTTTATTAATCTTACAATTAAATACTTAAATAGTAAATTCTTATTTAGTATAAAAGCACTTTGTCAAATAATTAACAATTTATCTTAAAAAAACGTTTTTTTTCCTTAGAATTAGAACTTACAAATAAAATACAAATACATTTACAAGCAGTCTAGAGAAAAAACTTAATAAATATTGTAAATAAAGAGTTTGAAAATTAGACCCTTAATAAATATTTAAAAACTTTTACTTTAAACAAAATTCAACAATTTAGGACAAAATTAAAATTTCTTATGGGTTTTTGATTATTATTTATTAATTAAACTAAATTATCAATTCCAACTTACTGGCAAGACCAGCTTACTTTCGAAAATCTTTATAATTATTTTTATATATAAAAGTATTAACTAAACTAACGAGTAGTAGTGGGGGGGTTAATGGAACTTAAATGTTAAAACTTGAACAAATTATTTGTACATATCAATAATTTCATCAATACTGACAGTAGCACCAGCTACCAAAGCACATATGGCTAAAATGCATAATAAAACATTTTTAATCAATTTCCATTTGCCCCAACCCATGTTGGGCCACAAGTACACGGTCTCCACAAAACTGGGCACGAAAATGCCTGTAATTTGTATAAAATAGAAAAAGTTTTGTTAAGAAAAAGTTTGGCAACATTTTAAATTTATCAAACTTACCCAGCAGTGAGAAGAAAACAGCTCCTACTAAACTAATGAAGGGTTCCAAATCGGGTATGGCAGCAGCAACACCACCACTAATTAAAATAATACCGGTTCTCAAGAGAATTTGTGAAATGTTGTGATTCTTGGGATCGAATTTGTGACTGATCTTTTTCCATAAAATTTCATTGGGCACATAGAACTGCAAACCGTAAGTGAAGAGTATAGCAACGGCCATTAAGAGTTTAGCGGCATCAGCCAATCTGTAAAGAGGATATTTATAGTGTTTTTAAATTGTTATAAAAGGAATAATAATGGTTAAATGATATAGGAGGCTACTAATATGAATTGAATTAGTTTAGCTAAAAGACTAGTCTATTAACTACCAAATTCATAGACTAGTAAGTGGACTAGTTAATAGACGAGATAATAGGCTAGTTAATGGATGAGTCCATATACTAGTTTAGCTAAAAGACTAGTCTATTAACTACCAAATTCATAGACTAGTAAGTGGACTAGTTATTAGACGAGATAATAGGCTAGTTAATGGATGAGTCCATATTAGTTAATAGACTAGACTATAGACTAGTTAATAGACTAGTCTATAGGCTAGTTAATAGATTAGTTCATCGACTAGTAAATAGACTAGTCCATTGACATGTTAATAGACTAGTCCGTGCCTAGACTAGTTAATAGTTAATAGACTATTCAATAGATAAGTCCATAGACTAATCCGAGACTAGTTAGAAGACTAGTTCATAGAGCAGTTAATAAACTAATCCATAGGCTAGTTAATAGAATAGTCCATAGAATAGTTAATAGACTAGACTATGGAGTAGAAAATAGATTAGTTAAAACACTAGTCCACATCCTATTGTCTACTCTGTAGTTTGGACTATAGTCTAGTCTATAGTATGGACTATTGCCTAGTCTATAGTCTGGACTATTGTATAGTCTATAGTCTGGACTATTGTATAGTCTATAGTCTAATCTATAGCTTGGACTATAGTCTAGTCTAAAATCTGGACTATAGTCTAGTTAATAGACTAGTTCATATACTATTTAATAGACTAGTCCATACACTGATCCTTCACTTAAACCTTAAAATAATAATAAAAACAAAATTTCCAAACTTACGGTGCACCATCGGGTAAATTCAATGTAATACTGCCACGAACTTCACTGCCAAAACGAATATAACCGAAGAAACCAATGATAGCGTACAACGAGACGACCGTTATCATGGCTGTATTCAAGACACCAGGGCAACCCAAAAACTGTTGTGGTTTCTTCATTGAATTCTCAACAGGCATAACTACACCAATACCTTCCATGGCAAAGATGACCGTAGCAAAGAAGAGGGGAATTTGAGATGCCTTAGCAACGTAAGGTTTATCGCTGACAACCAAGGGTTCATTGAACATATAGTAGAGTGTAATGCCGAAAGTGATGACAATAAAAAGATTAGCCATGGCAGAAAATGGAACCAGCCATTTTAGATTGCGTATCTGGCCAATGAATAGACAGGGCACAAGAGTCATCGCAATATAAATACGTACATCCCATTTTAGACCGAAATCATAGTTGATGACATCATGGAATGAAGTGGCAATAAAGACGATATAAACACAGGCAGCAGCATAGTATGTGGCCATTAGGGAGCCATCTACGAATTGTCTGTAAAGGAGAGAGAAAGGCATATTCAGATATCTCCAATTATATTCGGGAAAACTAAGTGATTTTCATATAAAACTATTTTTTTCTACTTCCATAGAAAGAATGAATTCTTTTTAAAATTAATTCTCTGAATTTTCAATTATTCAGAATAAATCGGGATTAAATTTACTTACTTGGCAAAGTTAGACCACGGTCTTAGAGGCTTTGGACCATATTCGAATACTTTCTCGGCTGTTTCGGAAAAACTTAAACTTGGTACACGAGCATCTCGGCAAATATTGTGTGAAGTTCTAACCTGTAAGGCGATAAACATGTGAAAATTAAAAGAAATTAATTCATAGTTAAAAAATATATTATAAACCAAAACCCTTGATTCTCACAAGCAGAAAGTTAAGGTAATTTCTATTATATTGGGTTCTTTCTTTGAGACATCTTAACCTAACGTTTGGAGAAACTATGGTGATGAATTCAGTAACTAAAGAATAGTTACCTAAAGAATTAAACTGCTCTGAATCCGAATCTTTAGGACAAATTTATAAGTCACAACTTGTTCCAGTGTTCGATATGCTAAGATATCGTCAGTTGAAGTTTATGCCGCATATAGTTGTTTTAAACTTTAGATTTAGATATCTTAAAGAATAAACATGATATAACAGAGGTTATACTGGATACAATGTATAGGACTTTCGCTAATTACGAAGTTTTCCAAATTTAGACTATGATATTTCGAAAACCTGTGCCCAATCCTTAAGAAAAGTAAGCCTGAGTTCTGTTCTAGTTCGGTTCTATTTCTGTTAGAAAGTCTATAGTTTAGTCCATAGTCTAGTTTATAATCTAGTCTATAGTCTTGTCTATAGTCTTGTCTATAGTCTAGTCTATAGTCTAGTATATAGTCTAGTATATAGTCTAGTCTATAGTCTAGTCTAAAGTCTAGTCTATAGTCTAGTCGATAGCCTAGTCTATAGTCTAGTCTACAGTCTAGTCTATAGTCTAGTCTATAGTCTAGTCTATAGTCTAGTCTATAGTCTAGTCTATAGTCTAGTCTATAGTCTAGTCTATAGTCTAGTCTATAGTCTAGTCTATAGTCTAGTCTATAGTCTAGTCTATAGTCTAGTCTATAGTCTAGTCTATAGTCTAGTCTATAGTCTAGTCTATAGTCTAGTCTATAGTCTAGTCTATAGTCTAGTCTATAGTCTAGTCTATAGTCTAGTCTATAGTCTAGTCTATAGTCTAGTCTATAGTCTAGTCTATAGTCTAGTCTATAGTCTAGTCTATAGTCTAGTCTATAGTCTAGTCTATAGTCTAGTCTATAGTCTAGTCTATAGTCTAGTCTATAGTCTAGTCTATAGTCTAGTCTATAGTCTACTCTATAGTCTAGTCTATAGTCTAGTCTATAGTCTAGTCTATAGTCTAGTCTATAGTCTAGTCTATAGTCTAGTCTATAGTCTAGTCTATAGTCTAGTCTATAGTCTAGTCTATAGTCTAGTCTATAGTCTAGTCTATAGTCTAGTCTATAGTCTAGTCTATAGTCTAGTCTATAGTCTAGTCTATAGTCTAGTCTATAGTCTAGTCTATAGTCTAGTCTATAGTCTAGTCTATAGTCTAGTCTATAGTCTAGTCTATAGTCTAGTCTATAGTCTAGTCTATAGTCTAGTCTATAGTCTAGTCTATAGTCTAGTCTATAGTCTAGTCTATAGTCTAGTCTATAGTCTAGTCTATAGTCTAGTCTATAGTCTAGTCTATAGTCTAGTCTATAGTCTAGTCTATAGTCTAGTCTATAGTCTAGTCTATAGTCTAGTCTAGTCTATAGTCTAGTCTAGTCTATAGTCTAGTCTATCTAGTCTAGTCTATAGTCTAGTCTATAGTCTAGTCTATAGTCTAGTCTATAGTCTAGTCTATAGTCTAGTCTATAGTCTAGTCTATAGTCTAGTCTATAGTCTAGTCTATAGTCTAGTCTATAGTCTAGTCTATAGTCTAGTCTATAGTCTAGTCTATAGTCTAGTCTATAGTCTAGTCTACAGTCTAGTCTATAGTCTAGTCTATAGTCTAGTCTATAGTCTAGTCTATAGTCTAGTCTATAGTCTAGTCTATAGTCTAGTTTATAGTCTAGTCTATGGTCTAATCCTACAAACCCTACAAGCAAATTTGTTAAGTGTATCGCAAAAATATCGAATACCGGAAGCATTGAAAATCGGCAAATCGAATAAAACTTGTTTGATGACACCTGCATGTTCAAACTCGCCAAAATAACAAAAAATGCCAAAATTAAACTTATTAAACAATAATTATAAATAAAAAATAAAACGTGATGAGATTTTTTTTGTATTATTTACTTAAACTCCCATAAAAAAATGACTAACATTAATTAAGTACTAATACTGAACAGATATCGATTTATTGACCGAGATAAGTTTAACAAATATAATCAGTTTCGACAAGTGATTGACAAGATAAATGGCATTGGTTAACATTTTATCATTAAAACAACAAATACATAAATGATTTTATTCATAAATATGATTTAATTCAAATAGAAATTAATTACATATTGGATACATTCACCTATGAAAACTAGTATTATAATTATTGTAAAAAAATTATAATAAAAAAAATTACCTAAACCTTGAACTAGTTAAATTTATAAAAGTCAATTACTTTTTTTTTAATCACAAACATTAAAAATTCACACTAGTCGTCTAATACGTCATTTTAAAATGTTGCTAAATAAATATTGTAATAGTATGAACATAGTTTTTATATTAAAATGTATAAAAAACACTTTTATTTGTCAATTATTAACAAGTTTAAAAGTATAAATACTTGAAATGTTAAATTCTTAAATAAATAATGCAAAAATTACGTTGTCTAGCCCTGACTAACACTTACAATTTTATATGTTGAGTTGGAGATAGTTTGATTAAACTTGATTGAAATTCAATGACCCAAAAGAAAAAAAAAAAACTAAAAAATTTTGATATTTTAAATTAATAGTGGAAATTTTTCCAAAAATTTAAACTCAAAATCAAATCAGATATAAAATGCAATCCTATAACGCTTCAGAAGTTTATAAATTATTCGAAATTTTTCAGAAATTTGGTTTAAAAGATTCTAAATTATCATTAAAAAGTACTTACCAATATATGGACACAATATGTACAAAGGAAACCAACGACTAAGGTACCGATCATACCGAATACAAGACCAGCATTGTAAAAAGCCATAGGCATAGCTAAAATACCGGTACCCAAAGAACTCTTCAGTAAATGAGCCAATGCTCCACCAGTGGAACTGCCATTTTCTTGATCACGATGTGCAAAGGGATCATATTCATCGAATGCCTGACCTTTCTCTGTGAGATTTGTTCTAGAAGAGAAACCAAATGAAAACATTTAGATTATCTAATTATGTATATGGAATTTTATGATAATTTGGATATTAAAAGCGTATATGCATAGACTAGACTAGCCTATAAACTAAACTATAAACTAGACTATAAACTAGACTATAAATCAGACTATAAACTAGGCTATAGACTAGACTATAGATATACTATAGACTGTACTATAGACTAGACGATAGACTAGGCTGTAGACTAGACTATAGACTAGGCTGTAGACTAGACTATAGACTAGACTATAGACTAGACTATATACAAGACTATAAACTAGACTACAGACTGGACTACAGAATAGACTATAGATTAGAACAGAACTAAAACAGAACTAGAATAAAACTAGAACAGAACTAGAACAGAACTAGAACAGAACTAGAACAGAACTAGAACAGAACTAGAACAGAACTAGAACAAAACTAGAACAGAACTAGAACAGAACTAGAACAGAACTAGAACAGAACTAAAACAGAACTAGAACAGAACTAGAACAGAAATAGAACAGAACTAGAACAGAACTAGAACAGAACTAGAACAGAACTAGAACAGAACAAGAACAGAACTAGAACAGAACTAGAACAGAACTAGAACAGAACTAGAACAGAACTAGAACAGAACTAGAACAGAACTAGAACAGAACTAGAACAGAACTAGAACAGAACTAGAACAGAACTAGAACAGAACTAGAACAGAACTAGAACAGAACTAGAACAGAACTAGAACAGAACTAGAACAGAACTAGAACAGAACTAGAACAGAACTAGAACAGAACTAGAACAGAACTAGAACAGAACTAGAACAGAACTAGAACAGAACTAGAACAGAACTAGAACAGAACTAGAACAGAACTTGAACAGAACTAGAACAGAACTAGAACAGAACTAGAACAGAATTAGAACAGAACTAGAACAGAACTAGAACAGAACTAGAACAGAACTAGAACAGAACTAGAACAGAACTAGAACAGAACTAGAACAGAACTAGAACAGAACTAGAACAGAACTAGAACGGAACAACAACTGAACTAGAACAGACCTAGAACAGAACTAGAACTAGAACTGAACTAGAACTGAACTAGAACTGAACTAGAACTGAACTAGAACTGAACTAGAACTGAACTAGAACTGAACTAGAACTGAACTAGAACTGAACTAGAACTAGAACTGAACTAGAACTAGAACTGAACTAGAACTGAACTAGAACTGAACTAGAACTGAACTAGAACTGAACTAGAACTGAACTAGAACTGAACTAGAACTGAACTAGAACTGAACTAGAACTGAACTAGAACTGAACTAGAACTGAACTAGAACTGAAATAGAACTGAACTAGAACTGAACTAGAACTGAACTAGAACTGAACTAGAACTGAACTAGAACTGAACTAGAACTGAACTAGAACTGAACTAGAACTGAACTAAAACTGAACTAGTACAGAGCTGGGTCTACAGCAGAAAAATGTATTCATTTCATTCGAATATTGCAAACTCGTAATTGCAATTATATCTGATTCGAAAAATTTGACATTAATTTACCTTGAGTGAAAATCGGTTAATGAAACAACCGAATTCGATTTATCTTTAGATGTGGAATTCGTGTCGGTCATCTGAAAATAAGGTAAAGATACAATTGTTAATTATATTGTAAACGAAATCTAAATAGTTTTAAATTATTTTTCAATTATAGCAAAATTTTAACTTTTAAGATTAACAAATCATTGAATATATTAACGCAAAATTGAACTAAAATTTTAGCGATCTCGAAATAAACAAATTATGCGCATAAAGTTTTGAATTAATGAAAAAGTACAAATTTTATCATTATATTATAATTAATAACAAATTATGTTGTTATACATTAATTAATTTTAATGAAAAATTAATTTCATTAGCAAATATTTTCGAAAAAAAATTGCACTTCGGAACTTTAACAATTAACCACCTTCCCAGAATGCAATAAATCATGTTTGATATGTATGTTTTTAGAAGGAGATTATTTTGTTTGGTAATTATTGTATTTGAAATTCTATGAAACTTTTTAATTCGAAATAAAATCCCAGTAATCTAAATTGTGTTAATTAGAAGTAAATTTTGGTTATTATTAAGGACAATCCTTTTGAATCCTATTAAATGCGAAAGACCTATAGTATTAATAGTAGTTGTTTTTCAATATTAAAAGTTTATATTTAAAATATCAGTATCAGTATGTACTATATATTTTGAGATTACCAAAAAAGAATAACAACAGAAATTGATTAATGGGTTTTTAAATATTTGTATTTGAATATTTACTTTAATTTATAGCTCATGCCTTAAACTCATGCCCTATTTAATTCTTAAATTTTTTCAAGAGCTTTTGGACGACAGTTTTTTTAACACTATTGAGAGTTAACAGTACTGATTAACATCAGTATATAATTTTACAATCTTAATCTAAGGACTAAATTTTGAACCAATATTAGTAAGAAGATAATTATTGTCTAGAGTAATTTTAAAACTACTTTTTGTCCCGAAATTTCTTTTATCCAGCTTTCTCATTCAAACTACTGTGATTTCAGGTTTATCGCTGACCTTGTACATGAAAAAATTTAAGTAAAAAAGTCTTAAACTGTAAATCAAATCGATTCAAAATTATCGTGCGCAAAAAAGTGCTTAACCTTTAAACATTCAAAACAAACTTTTATAATCAACAAAGTAGATTTTAGATTGAGGAGAAGTTATAAAAATTAAAACGAAATCACTTTAAAAATCGCCCTTTATCTAATCAATTGCATTAATTTATTATGCTCGTACTTATTCTCTGGACATTTTCTTATTGTAGCCCGGAATTTTGTCTACAAATTTATGGATTTTTCAAAGAAATATTACTACAAAACGTCATAAAATAGGAAAAAAGAAATAAAAACCCACTTCTTATCAAACAATCAATTAGAATGTTTATGATTAAAATCATAAATGAATTTGTTGCCTTTTTTATGGATTTAAAATCATAAACAATTGTCATAAAATGTCACATGTACAGTGACAAATTTAGCCGCTGAATAGTAGTCTAAAAATGACAAGTAGTTTGGGATTGTTTGACATTTACTTGTATTTAAGTTTATTAGCTTAAAAAACAAATAGTAAGTTTATAAATTTTAACAATTTCTAAATAAATATGAATGAAAAATTTCTAGTTTTAACTGGTTCAAAATTTTTAACATTTCTTTTTAACTATTTATGATAAGGGATTGTTTTTTATTTCAGAAACTATAAAATTTAATTGTCTATTTAATTAAATTTAATATTGTTTTAATGGTAAAAGTAATATCAAATGCGAAGTTTTAAAAATTTTAATAAATATCAACTATTTTGATAAGATTTTTTTTTAAATTTTCTTAATACTGGTCTTAAAATTATGATAAATTAGAAGCATTATTAGGTCTTTAATTAAACACTAAAGAAATAATGTAAATAAAACAATAAATGCATTATAAAATCAAAAAGTTAATAATTATTTCTTATTAAATTTAAATAGCGCTTTAGTTTTTTTTTGCATTTAATTAAACAACACATTGTCCACACTAATTGTCATCAATATTTACCGTTACACCTACTTGACATGTAAACAAGACGCGCATTGTTGCATTCTTAAGTATAATGTTATTCACAATAAGTGTTTTGCTAGTAGACTGATGTCAACTTAGCGTTTTTTAATCTAATCTTAAGTGATGATTTTTATTAATTGTTTTTTAAGAAAATTTATAGACTTGTAAACATATTTATTTCTATGAATTGTATAGCTTAAAATCATTCAATATTTTCAATGGTCTATTATCGTGGACGCGTGTTTATTTATTTTGTTATACTAATAAATGTCGTCGTTAATTTTTAACGGTTGTTTTTCGCAATAAACTTAATTAGTTAATTCATGTTTTTAATTTCTTTTAGTTCGACGTCATTTAATTAGTAAGTACATACTTGGAAATAATTGGATTAGAATTTATGGTTGTTTGAGGTTTATGTAGAGCTGATATGATATCTTAAATACCGGTATTATTGCGTCAAGGAAAATTTTTCTATATTTTTGATGATTTGATAAGTTTTTGACAACTATTGATAGTTGAAAATAGATTCTGAATACAAGAATCGTTGTTAGAATCATATTATTATCTGAAAGTCTTCAATAAGGCGAATGTGTTTTAGTATTTAGTTCAAAATCAAGGTCAGGGCTCTAGTAATATAACAGAGCCATATGCAAAAGAGATCGAATTTATCTGAAAGTCGTTAATAAGGTGTATGTTGTGTGGTACAATTGAAACAAATGCAAAATTCTTATTTTGTACTATTTTCGGGGGAAATTTTGATGACTGTGTATCGAATATTGATAAAACAGTAAAAATTAAAGAAATTTGAATCAAATTTGGTAGCATTTATCCCAAAATTTAATGCTCGAAAGTTTAAATATAAATCTGATAACAAATGCATTAAAATTCTTTGCTTTTTATATGACTACTTTAAAACAATTGTAAATTTGATTTAAATCTGATCTGATAATATTAATTAATCTGAAACTGAACTAGAATTGAACTAGAACTGAACTAGAACTGAACTAGAACTGAACTAGAACTGAACTAGAACTGAACTAGAACTGAACTAGAACTGAACTAAAACTGAACTAGAAATGAACTAGAACTGAACTAGAACTGAACTAGAACTGAACTAGAATTGAACTAGAACTGAACTAGAATTGAACTAGAACTGAACTAGAACTGAACTAGAACTGAACTAGAACTGGACTAGAACTGAACTAGAACTGAACTAGAACTGAACTAGAACTGAACTAGAACTGAACTAGAACTGAACTAGAACTGAACTAGAATTGAACTAGAACTCAAACTTATTACATAAAAATTGTGTAAAATATATCGATAAATTTTGCAAAAAATACGCTATTAAACAAATCTTAGATTTGACGTAATACTTGCTTTTTAGTATCAATTGAAATTTCAAAAGCGTAATTCAGAGTGCAAATAATTAGCATTCAAAAAATCTAAAAAAAAAAAAAAAAACGATAAAAGTTGCTAACCGACTAGAATAGTAATCACTGATTTTGATAAGCGATATTTAAACACATGATTAAATCATTTTTAAATTAGTGATATAAAATAGAATTAATGACTTGCACACAGATCTATTAAAAATTTCCTTTACAATTATTTCTTCATATTGTAATAAATACGAAATAATTTATTATTTTTAGCGTTAGTAGATTTTAAATTGTCACAGCTTTTGTTAATTATAAACAATAATCATAATTAAAATAGTTTTTTTCATAAAGATTTTAAATCTTTAAAATAAACAAATCAAATTTTATCACTTGCTGCTTTACAAGTAAATAATTCACAATAGTTATTTGGTCACTGTGATTTATTGTAATTAAAGCACAATAATGTCCAGTTTGGCGGAAATTTTGTTCACTTTAAATTATTTTATTATTAATTTATAATAATTTCTTTTTTTAAATTTATGCACTTTCATATATCACTTTTTTCAATCTTAAGGATTTGTTAAATTTATTTTAATCCTTTTATTACCTTTTAAATCTTAAAATTATTTATTATATTTCTTATAACGTTTTTCTCAAGAACACAACCAACGAATTTATTTTGAAAAAAAAAGTCAACCGTTCTTATTGATTGACCAACAATAACTGATCATTTGGAAAATAAATTTAGCACTTTTGCTAAAATTTTCAACATTTGCTCAATGGTTCTTTTGACTCGTTCGTCAGTCGGTAGTTCGGACGGACGGACAGGTGGACGAGCGATCGATCGATCGCCGGTGTATCGTTATAAGCCTTTTTAACTGTTTAACGTCAACAACAACAACAACAACAGTAACAATTATGTCTACAACAAAAGTAACAACAAATTGATAATCATTCTGAAGTACAAGTACGTATACGAAGCTGTTGTACTTACTGTAGTTTTGTTATTGTTAACTTTGTTGTTATTGGTCGTTATGATTATGTTGTTGATATTATTTTTTTTTTATAATCAATTATTAGGTTTTAATTAAAGTATTCTTTGTTTATTTTCTTTTGCTTACTTTTTTTCGCTATCCAAATGAAAACTGTTCATTAGAATTGATAAAACTGTATTTTAAAGCAAAGAAAAAACGTTAAAAAAGATATAGTTCAGTTCAGTCCTCATTACCAAACGAGCTTAGTCTGATCAAGTTCTTTTAATAATATCCTGAAGTTTTATTAAACTTCTCAATAGTTCATAGACTGATCCATATTCTAATCCATAGTTAGTGTATAGAAAAATGCAAAGAGTAGTTCATACTATGGACTAGTCCATTGACTGGTCCATAGATCTGATTATAGACTAATAAAGACTATAATAAAGTCCACAAACTTTATTATAGACTAGTTAATAGTCTAGTACACATACTACTTTATGGACTAGATCAAAGACTAGTCTATAAACTTTTTCGCAGACTAGTCCATAGACTTGAATATAGATTGTTCTAGACTGTAGTCCACAAACTACTTTATAGACTAGTCCATATACTAGTTCATAGGCTAGACGATAAACCGGGCAACATACTAGTCTATAAACTT